TTAACACACTGAGATACACATGGTAGATTTTATAACCCTTACACATGACATCAGAGGGCTTTAGAGAACATGATAAGGAACTCTGGGTTAGAAGAAAACGTAATGATTTTAATCTAAAAAAGCATCTTAATTTCCTCATCACAACAAAAAAATCATAGCCAACACCAAACAAGATTCCTCCTTTCTAAGAGACCAAAATAATCTGCAGAAAATAAAAACTTAAGATTCTAAATAAGAAAATCTGAAATGTTTCACAACTATGTATCACGATCTACAGAAAGCTGTATTCATTTGCAAGGCTGGCACTTACCCAGACTGGCAAAAAAATGTGTTTTAATAGCATTGACCCTGTAAATCCTCTGTGATACAACAGCAACCTTGAAAAATAACGTATAGAATTGGACCTCTGAAGTACTTAGAATTAAAATGAAAATCTGACCTTTAAAATTTTAAGGAAAAGCACCCTTCATCAGAGAGTTTATGTATATTTTGGCCAGAGTTGGAAGGAAAAATAATTTCACTCAAGACCACCTAAATCAAGTAATAATACAAAGAACAGATTTTCAGGAGCATTTCTAAGAATATGAAAAGATATTATAAGTCCTGATAGAAACATAAGTAATAAATCACGCTGAGGTTTTTTTAAGTTTTGATTCGTTTATTATGAAATGAAGAAGGCCCATCTGGATACTTAATGATTTTTGAGTAAGTCATTGAAGGGGATCCTCAGGCAGTACAACTAAACAAATTGCATCTATCGTACAGATGACTGGAAGTTAGCTAAACATGTTCCTTCTGTCAGAAAAGATACTTAAGCAAACACAGCTTCGCAGACAGAAGGAGAAGAGCCTGTTTTTAATCCTTCAGTACCTCCTTCCTTGCATCAACACAACACACTCAGTGCATTTCTCTGGCTGCCTTTTCAGTGCCCACAGCTATTCACCACTATTATACTTTAAGTTGCTGCTTTGGAAAAACAGCAGGAGTTCTGGCAAAAGAGAGCCATTTGCTCAGTAGGAAGCAGCAAGAAGCAGTTGCTAATCCCAACAGGAAGGTGACAGACTCCTTCACTGGCAGAGCTTCAGTGACCCCTAATGGACAACCTCCACCAGTGCGCCTGCCCTTCCAGGAGATCCAAGCCATGCCATACCAACTGGCAGGACTCAAACCAGCTCGTTTCAGCCTAATATGAACTCTGGCACTTCGGCTTTTCCTCATTTAGGGTGAATGTAATTACAGTTCACGTTCAAGACGACTGTACCTACTAGGATGCCACCTTCGTATTCTGACCATTTGAAACCTTCTAGGCCAGAAGGAAGAGAAAGGTGAACAAACCCGGCGCTCAACGCAGCTGTTCTGAAAACTACTTAGGGCAAAGCAAATTCAATTTCCTAAAAACTAGAGCCAACTGGTTTTACATCTTTCAACACGAAATAAAAAATGTTAAGGACTAACATCGCAAATTGACCCATTTAAACAATTTTAAAAGGAAGATCTGCACTCAGCACAACCCAGAGTCTGTATAAATGACAGCAGTAATTTGAAAGACACAGCCCAAGTGTTTCTGCCTCTCCTCCCCAAAGTGAGACTATACCTGCCATTAGCAGGGCAATGAGCCGTTTTCATTACAGGGAAAGGATTCTTTGCTTCAGCAAAACTACTGCCGTTTCCACTGAATGAAAAACTGCCAACAAAAAATGCTGGTGGGTGCAGTTTCTTTTTGTCTTTCACAAACCGCAGAGATGAACTCGTGTGAATGAACTCTCAGCACAGGAAAGAGACCCAGCTGAAAACAGGCTGCACTACCCATTCCCCTTCTCGAAAAGGTTTTTGTTCCGTGTTCTTTCTTTACTAGCTTGGTTGCTCTGTTCCCCTTTTCTTACCTACCTTCCTTCCCTTCCCACCTCAGAAATGTACCCGCTATAAATCTTCCTGTCTCAGCAAGATTTTGACACACAGAAGGGCAAAGGCACTGAACAGAAGGGTCACAGAGCTGATGCTAGCACTGACACCTAGCAGAGCAGCCCCATTTAGACAACCGATAGCACTAGTCTGTAAGACATCTATTGGCTTCCAAGGCTAACTGGATTAACTAGAAATCTTTGCCCAAGTCAGAAAGACCCACCAAATGCCCAATCCTGCTTAAATCTAGTGCTCTAAGTAATGATCAGTTTATGGCATCACTTTCCTGAATAGTAATGATAAAAAGGTAAACCAATTACAGCAAACCCTTGGCTGTCAGAAATTCCTGCCCCTTAAGTGCTGTGATTTAAATAACAGATTAAATGAAATGAGAGAATGCTGAAACCTCCAGAAAGGGCACAAACATGCAGCCCTAAATTTGCTTTAGCAAGTCACCGTATTCTGGCTTTTAACTTCCAGTCCTTTTCCTCACCTTCTCATCCTCCTTCCTCAGAAGTACCAAATGTTGACATGAGTTGTGTATCTCTGCTCTGAAGAAGCAGAACATCCGGTGAAAGGAAGATGTGACTGTCACTATTCCTCTAGCGCACGCAGCACAACAGCGCGTAATTCAAGACGTCCTGGTAAGCCAGAGGTTTTCAGCTTTTTCCCTATCATGACTCATGATTACACAAGAGAAATTCCCGGTCTTCCTAATTCCCTTCTGTTCACCTATGAAGAAATGATCTGTTAACTCGACCCACTGGTTGAATGTCCATTTTAGGCAGATCTAAAACTTTACTGACACAATCGAATATTGTAGCAGTCTCTTGATAGAGATGAACTTTGGGTTTGGTACAAGATGCAGTGCTAACTGGACGTACCACTGAAATTGTGCCATTTCAGGAATTTACTGGATTAAATCATAACCACACTGAAATTGGTGGCAAATCACCATTCAATGGCCATGATCTATCTACCATTATTTCATGAGTCAAGAAACCACCGCCACTTTGGAGCCGATGTTACTATTTCTGACACTCCTGTGATTTCTGCTTGCCATGGATGCTTATCAAAGGACACTCCGGTGTATTTTCTTCAGCATGAAGAAACTGCCAGGGACCAGAGGACCTCACAGCATCTGATGAGTTTAGTGGTAAAGTATGTTGGGCTTGATATTAGGAAGAAACAATCCCCTCATGCACCCTGAAGAGTGGGAATGGGCTACCCTTAACCAGGGCTCCTAAAGAACAGTGATCTGCTAACACAAGTTAGAAGAGACTTACAGCTGCAGCTAGTGCTCATCTTCCCTTTTTCTCATCCTGTGATCTCTCAATGGTTGTGCAGACCATTTAAACAGTCCATCATTAGATATCAGCAAGGGTTGGGCTGACTGCTGAACTTCCATATGAGGCAACAGAGCAGCAAGAATAACTTTTTGTCCCCCCCATCTTTCCACACCACACTGCACATGCCTGTTAGGTGGAACAAGGACATAAATGAACCTTTTTTGACTCATAAAAGCTGCAGAGAGAAAATTAGGAGACAAAACCCTCTTCAGTCTCATAGTATAACGGATGCAAAGCAAACAGATTTCCTGAACTTTTTATGATTTCCAATGAATAGTCAGATACATTCAAGCATTCTTACATAAATATGTCTTTCTTATATGCAATAACTTTTAATTTTTGGTACAAGAGACTGGGATTCCAATCTACCTATATACAAACAGCACAGAATTACAAGAAAGTGTATCTAAGACAAATTTCTTAATTTTTATTAAATTCAAAAACTCCAGGAAAAAAAAATCACAAGTTTCTAAGTACAAATAAAACCAAATCAGCTAAAATAAAATGGTTGTCAAGTTAAAACTCATTTTCCATAATTTTCCCTTCCTTGCTATTGCCCACAGTACCATCAGAACTCCTACAAGTGCTTTAGAAATAGATTTTATCTCACCAATATGATAGTAAACTGTAAGTTTACTATGTAAAAAAGCAAATCGTTTAGGCACAAGGTGGCAGAAGACATAAGCACAAATATCAACCATGCTTCCTTAATTTGTCCGTTCAAATCCAGGTGTGCTAAAGACCTGCATGGTATTGTATTCAGAATGCCAGAGCTTACTCTGTGAAACAAGGGCTCAATTTTTTTTTCTTTTTTTAATGTTAACATTTTGTTGTGTCTTTTTTCCTTCCTGAAAACAGAAAGAAGCTGCTTAAGTCAGTGGTATACCTTACTGGCCAGGGCCAGCGTTCTGGCTACAAGAGTGGCAAAAGTGACAAAATGGGTTCCAGCACCAGAGAATGAGAAGTAGAGAAGCTGTAGTGTGAAAAAAGACTGGTTCATGCTTGTGTTGCCAGTGTAATTAATAGTTTGGCAACCACCTGCTAAGATAGCATGACAAGCAGTCACATACTATTTGAAGAAATCAGCTGGGCTGGGTCATCAGCTGCTCTCCCAACAGAGCAGTGATCAAGGTGAACAACTAACGTCTGCTACTCTTCTGACTACACCTAAAGGAACTGTCAAACTGAAAATTAAATCAGAACAAAACTAAAACAAGTGTTGTTCCATATTCCAGATTCTACCTTTTACCCATCATTTGATACTTGCCATTCTAATAACAGGTGCAGTTCCATTCTCATTCATAAATACAAAATTTTATTTGCACTTCATTAGTTTAGAAAGACCACAATGTTTTTCAATACCACAACATTCAGGACACACCAAGTTATTCAAATATGTAACTACTGATTTACCACAGCTAAACTAAACAGTGCATTTTAATAAAAGATATACCAAAGATATAATTCACAAATTCATTATCAGACAAAAACCTAACACAGTATTTGCTTGATGGGAATAATTTCCATCATTAGGAAAGAAAATAATTTTACCTTAGGTTCCCTTCCCCCCAACCCTACAGATGTCCAGACAAATACACATATATATTCCTTAACATAGGAAAATGTATCATCTTAATTTTTTTTTTTTTTTAAGAGTTTGTCTAGGACAGCAGCATTACTTTTTATACCTTCTTTTAGAGCTCAAATATATCTCCATTCTTTTATTGAAACTTAATGATTCTCGCAACCAAGTTTATGCTTACGCAGAAAATTATATATGCTATTTCAGAGTGCAATCTTAGATCTGCACCAGATGTGATGTCTTGGTACACAAAGAAAGGGTGCAGCATTAAACAAAATAAATAGAAGACTGCCAAAAATTAAACTTAGCTTTTCAATAAATCCAGTCAGCAGAGGATGCTACAGCCAAAAATGGTTTCACTACATTAAAAGGAAACATAATGCTGATTATGGAAGCTTTGTACATAAAGTCCTCTGTTTTTAAAAAATTTGTCTTTAAAATAGTTAGCAAAGCACCATATACTTATCTTCATACCAGAAGAGCTTCTGCCTGCCTGTTTATAATAACAAGAACTATTACAACATTTATGTCAAGAATAGGTATAGATTTAATTTCTCCTCCTCCTCGACTGGAAGTGTGGTAAACCCCCACTGACTGTACAGTATTTATAACACTGGGGCAATGAATGAAACATCATTGTGAGGGAGAGGGGTAATAATTAAATGTTATAGCTGAATCCTACACAGGATTGCATATTTGCATATTTACAAGTTAGTGTGTAGCTCTGACTCGAATAACAAAGTGCAACAAGAAACTGCCAAATGATTGTAGTGCAGAGTAGTACAGATACTTCCTTTACCCTCCCACTCCTATTTTTCACTCTGTATGGAATAACAAGTCAACAGCAACGGACATGTGGCCTTGGAGGAGGCAGTTCTGGTGGGATTTCTGGCTCTGGTTGCAGGGACAGGATACTGTTGGACAACTCATTTCTTATAACATCCAGTGGCATCTTAAAAAAAAGAAAAATCATCTGTAAACAGTCATCTGTGTAGAACTCAGCATAAAGAGCTCGTTTCAAGAGTTCACTCTCAGCCAAAACCACAATTTAAGGATCTTTTGGTTCTTATTAGTAAACTACATTTGATTAAGTTTTGTTAAGAATTTCTTTCAGAAAAACGTTACAAGACATTGTCAAAATAAAGATGCTACCTGAACAAATTACAACAGAACTGCTCGCAAACAAAAGCAGGCAAACGTACAGTCAGCTGCTGATATAGAGTGAAGTTATAGGAAAGAGGAAGTATAGCAAAGAGGAGCAGATGTTTACCAAATTCAACAGCAGTATTTAAAAACTGTGGTGTTCAGCAGAGTCTGCGAACTACACCATGCCCACTACCCATTAACCAAAAATTTCACCTGACCGTGTGCACTCACCCGCTATATCCTCCCAAGAAGTACCTGCAGTCATTATTTAAACACTGACCATTTATGTGGTCAGAGGAACTACCACCTGAGTATTTTACCTTTTTCAGAATGTCATCAACAAGTTTTAGAAATATTTCATCCACATTAAAATTATCCTTGGCACTTGCTTCACAGAACCGCATCCCAGTTATTTGCTGTGCAAACTGATGGACGAGAAAATAAAATTACTACATGAATATATGCACAAGTAGCAACAAACAACAAATATACACTCCTCATAAAACCTTTAAAAAACCCCCACAACTTTCCCCAAATCTGTGACTCAAGTCTAGTTCAATTAATAATCCTGAATCTCCAAGGTACAGCAAATATTGGCATGAACAGCTAAATTTCACTTAAAAATGGTTTACTGGAAAAGTGTGCTGTATTTTTCCAGACTTAAATCTGAGAAATTCATGTCTTCAGTTGATGTGGATCGCTGCAGATTGCCAAAAAGTATGAACTTTTCAGAAGAGTTAATTTCAACCTTAGTATTAAAATGCAGAAAAGGGAAGTTCAGATGTTAGAACAAGCCTCAACTCTCTAACAGAAAATGCTTTCTTTCCAAATGCATGATGGGCAGCTGAAGGAAAATAGTTGTTATACGTCCATACCGATAGTGTCCTGACCAAGATGGTCCTATGTGTGCTATGCTAAAACATACTCTCTTGTCAGGTTCCTTACCACTTCTGGAGTTGGAAGAGAACACAAGAAACATGAAAACAAAGGTGAGGTAAGTAATCAAGCAGGGCTGTTGCCTGTCCTAAAATACTACTGAAAAGCAAACTTCTGGAAGAAGGCTCACAAAGATGTCCTGAGTAGAGATATGTCCATTTGTGATTCAAGCCTTCGCTATATCTTCTTTCAGAGCCCAAAAAGGATTATCCCCTGCACTACTGTCTAGTGTAAGCCAACTTGTGGTTTACTTTCTTTAGGTC